AGACAACTGAGAGCACTTACTTATCATTGTTGGGAGGCCCAGGCTCTAACTCTGATTTGTTTTCTGTTTGGCTGGGATGCTGTAGAGTGATAATGGAAACGAGAGATGAGCACACACCACCTATGATCTGTGCCAGGCTCAGAGGGGGTGGGGAAAAGGTTGACATCTGGGTTATAGAACATCAAGGAACAGTAAAAACATCAGATTAAGTAACTCTTCTTTGAAGGGCTGGAGTTGGTCAGGGAAGTAAGTAAAAGATCAAATAAATGTGTCTGTCTAGGATGACTGAAAAGAAATAGATCTGTTGGTCTGATGTTTCTCTGTCTCTGGATCTGTTTTTGTTCATCAGTTTATGTTGTTCATTCTATTCCATAAATGAGTGAGATCATGTGATATTTACCTTTCTCTGACTGGCTTAAATCAAACCTCAGAGGGAAGGTAGGGGAGGATGGGAGTAAAGGGGAGAGATCAACCAAAGGACTTATATGCATGCATATAAGCTTAACCAATGGACACAGACAACGGGGGGAGGTGGGGTGTGAGGGCATGAGTCGGGGAGGGATGAGAGGGTAATGGGGGAATAAGGACACATATGTAACACCTTAATCAATAAATAAATTTTAAAAAATTGTTTTGTCTTAGTTTCCTGATGGGTAGAAAGGAAAATGAAAGGATGTTCTAGGAAGAACAGTGTGCGGGTAGAAAATGCCAACATTTCATTGTTTTAATTGTGTCAGGGTTTTTCGTTTTTAAAGAGCTTTTTAAAATGATTGCTGTGTCAGTGAAGTGTTAAGTGCATTACATGCTATTTAATTTAATCCTGGAAGCAGGAAGCTGGTGCTATTGTTATCCTCACTGTTCAGGGAGGGATTATCTGAGGTTTTGAGAACTGAAGACGCTTCTGCAGGTCTGCACAGGGCTCTCCGGTTCCACAACAACATTGTCACACTGTCATGCGGAGCTCCATTAGGGCTGGAATGAAAGTATCATGTATGCGAACACAGTAAAGGGAGACAAGACTTCGCAGGACATTTGGGGCCAGGTTGGAGGGTGTTATATATTGGGTATTTTATAATTGGGCGGCAAGACCTCAATCTGTTTTTTCTTTTCCTTTTTCGTTAATCTTCACACACAGATATTTCCCCATTGATTTATAGAAAGAGTGGAAGAGAGAGGGAAAGAGACAGAGAAACATTGATGTTAAAGAAACACATCAATTTGTTGCCTCCTTAGTGCACCCCAGCCAGGGAGGAGCCTGCAACCAAGGCATGTGCCCTTGACCGGAAACGAACCTGGGAACCTTTGGTCCACTGAACCAAACTGGCTAGGGCTCGACACAAAGTCTTAAAGGAAGTTGCCACACATCTTCCCTGTGGTTGGGGAGGAACATTCATGTCACAAGGCAGAGGTTTAATCCTGTCAGGAGGTTTCGACCTGGACATTCTGTACCGCTATTTTGAACCTTTGCCAGATCCATGCGTGCACTAGGGGCAGGTAAAGATTTTCATCCTTGTTGCCGGTGTTCCATGGAAGTGATACCAGGAGCCTCTCCGGCGTGTTTCTACACTTTGAATGTGGAAGACCGTGTATGGATGGTGGATGGATGGGCTGTCAATAAGTCCATCTACTTCTTTTTCTTTTTTGTTAATCCTCACCTGAAGAAGTTTTTTCCATTAATTTTTAGAGAGAGTGGAAGGGAGGAGGGAGAGGGAGAAAGAAAGGGAGAAGGAGAGAGGGAAGGAGGGAGAGAGACACACACACACACAGAGAGATCAAAGTGAGAGAGACACATCAATCGGTTGCCTCCTGCCTGGGGCTCAAACCTGCAGCTCAGGTACGTGCCCTTGACCAGAATTAAACTTGTGACCCTTCAATGCATGGGCAGATGTTCTAACCGTGTATGGCTCTTGTTTTTCTGTTTTTAACTCTATTGTCCACTGTGCATCAACTTTAGAACTTGACTTAAATGAAGCAGCATTCTGTGGTACACTGTGCATGGGCTTTGGAATTGGCTAGACTTGGGGTGGAATCTCAACAGTTGTGCAACCCCAACCCTGGGCAATGAACCTATCTACTCTGAGCCACAGTGTCCCCATATAAAAATAGGACGTGTATACTTATAGGAAAGCACCTAGCTCATTTTCTGAAAGTCTAACATGTTTAAGCACTTAGTTCATCAGTTGAATCCAGCACCCGATTCTTATCAAGATCATCAAAGACTAGCATCATGGTTTATACTTGTTAGAATATCTCCATGCATTTGGATTGTGAAGCTCAAATACTTCTTTCTTAAAGAAACAATGTGAAAAAGTTCAGTCAATCTGAAATAAGTTGCTCAAGATCTGTCTCTTTTAAAAAAAAAAATATATATATATATATATATATATATATATATATATATATACATATATATTATTGATTTCAGAAAGGAAGGGAGAGAGAGAGAGAGCTATAGAAATGTCAATGATGAGAGAGAATCATCTATCAGCCGCCTCCTGCACTACCCACCCCCTCCCCACTGGGGATCAAGCCCACAACCCAGACATGATCCCTTGACCAGAATCAAACCAGTGACCCTTCAGTCCGCAGGCCGATGTTCTATCCACGGAGCCAAACCAGCTAGGGACCAAGGTCTGTCTCTTAATAGTAGGTGACTGAGATCTTGGACAGTGGGATTGCTGTGAGCATTAATGGGTAGGAAAGCTAAGAAATTAAAGTGAACATTAGATTCACTGGTGATGGTGCCTTAATATACTAGATGCCTTTGGCCAACTAAGTCAACCTTTCAAACTTGTAAAACCATAAAACTTGACTATTAGGCGGAATGGTGAAATGCTATTGTGGCCACATTCTTAAAAGAGCAACTAAAATTGCTTAGCCCTTGAGTTCACATGAGTAATCCTTTGCTATCATGTGTTCACTTGGCTCCTTTCTCTGGTGTTTGGGCTCCAAGACCATATGCCCCTCTCTCACTGGCTGGCATTAAGGATGGGCCAGCTCTGGCTTGCCCTGCATCAGCAGTGGGATGTTGACCTGTCTGCTGAGCCCTGGAGCCCGCAGCTGTCAAGGAGACCCAGCTGAGGCTAGTTGCTGGGCCCAGTCACTGCATGGTTGGGACAAGTTTGGCATATCTTTTCCATCACCACTGTCTCTCCCTGGGAACTACTCTGTGCTCACCATTTTACCAAGTTCCTGGGTGTGAAGGGTGGTTAGGCACAGCTGGTCCCTTCTTCTGAGGAGGTTCTTTAACAGGAGAGTTTATCAGAATGCATTTAACAACAACTCTGAGTTCTTCAGGATTGATCATCGTTTAGGGCTAAATGGTTGGGCAAGATGATAATTACTACAAAACCCAAAATAGGGGATTCAGGGATGGTTGGCAGAGTTTAAGAAGGTTTATTATTGGTTATCCAGGGATGTTCATGGAAACATTCATTAGTGCTGCACCCGGGAAAGAAAACAGTGTCAGCAGAGTAGCCCAACCTGGCAACTTCCATGGGAAAGTGCGGCCATCAAAGGGAGCCTTGCCTCAGGGCAGAGTGGATTCCAGGGGTGTAGCAGGGCCAACACAGCTGGCCAGAGTCTGCATTGCAGCTCGGGGGACAGAACTGTGGTTTGAAAATGCAGGCACTGTGAGTTCAACTCTTGCTTTTGCATTTAACATGCTACGATTTTTTTCTCTTCCATAACCTTAACTTTGGTCTTGAAAGGAACTCCGTCAGGCACTTGCAGAATATTTACCATCAGGCCACCAGTAAATTTGTCTTTGGGGAGCTGTTTAGGGAATCAGAACAGGTTATCCTGAAGTCAAGGAAACCTGGGTTCTAATCTTAGCCTGAAGCTATTCTGCCCCTCAGCATCCCGGGAGCTTCTTAGAAGTGCAGAATCTCAGGCCCACTAGACTTGGGAGTCTGCATCTATGTTTTAAGATTCCTGGGCGATTCATAGCACATAATGTTGGTAGCTTTTTCAGAGTGAGACAATGGAACAAAGGATGTAGAGATCTCTGTGAATATATGTATGGATTAGAGGCCCAGTGCACAAAATTCATGCAAGAGTAGGCCTTCCTTCCCCCGGCTGCCTGCACCAGCTTCTCTCTGGCACCCAGCACTTGGGCTTCCTCCAGCCGGCACCCAGGGACCGGGGATTCCCTCACAGCCCAGCTTCATCTAGAAGGACGTCCAGAAGGACATCTGGTCTCATTAGCATATTACACTTTTACTATTATAGATTATTCCTGTATCATCTTCATGCTATGGTGGGGGCTAGGGAGTCGGTGGTGTTGGAAATGGGGGATAAGAATAAATTAAGGAAAAACAGCAGAGGAACAAAGCCCAGGTGGTGGGGAGAATAGAGGGGAGCTGCCTTTGACGCCTTTGAACTTTCACTTTGCAATACTAACAGGATAGCTATTTTAAAATCTTCCCAATGCAGGTCATGGTAGGGAGTTACCATGATGGCCCCTGTGAGTCATGCTGACACTCTCCTGCAGTGTGACTTTGCCATTCCTTCACTGAGAGGTGGAATCTATTTTCCTACCCCCCTGAATCCGGGCTGGCCGTGTCACATGCCTTTACCAAAGAATGTGGAGGGAGGGATGATGTGAGACTTCTGAGGTCATTCAGCTTTGTTTTGCTGCCTCCTGGAACATTTCTACCACCATGTGAGCAATTCCAGCCTGAGAAAGCCTCTTTGAGCAAAAAGCACAGGTGTCCACGGTCCTGGCCCAGCCCAGCCCCCGGCCAACCTTCTAGCTCACTATGGTTCTATCACGGAACCCAGAAGAAATCAGCTCACCCACCAAGTGGTGAGAAATAATAAAGTGGCATTTTAAGCCACTGAACTTTAGGGTAGTATGCTGTGCAGTCACAGATAACTGGACATAGTATCTCAATGACGTCGATTAAAGCTCTGGATGATGTATTTGCTTTCGATTTTCGTGTGTAAATATCAGATCATGGTACAGAGAAACTGAGTTCTTCCTCCTGTGTTTCCTGCAGCACTTCACAGAACTTCTGGATGAGTTTTCCCAGAACGTCCTGGGTCAGCTGCTGAACGACCCTTTCCTCTCAGAGAAGAGTGTGTCAATGGAGATGGAGCCATCCCCAACATCCCCAGCACCTCTCATCCAGGCCGAGCACAGCTATTCTCTGAGTGAGGAGCCGCGGGCCCAGTCACCGTTCACCCACGTTACCAACAGCGACAGCTTCAATGATGGTAAACTCAGAGCAGGGGCCTTGGCACCTTTGAATCAGAGCAACTTGAGGGTGTGGAGTGTGGGTTATAGTACTGTCAGCACATCTTCCTCTGTGTGCAGCTTTGTGCTTGGGCTACGGGGAAATGCAGAGAGACACAGGGCACATTTCTCTACCCCTGCCTGTGTTCTCTGGGAACGTGCTGTATCTGAATGACAGTAATTGCTTTCTGTGACCCTGTAGATTGGGCAGCAAAGCATCCTTTTACAAACCAGGATGGCCTATCTGGTTGATAATTCCATTGTTTCAAGAGTCCAAAGCCTTTTTGTTGTTGTTTTTGTCTAAAGTTTTACATATGTCTCCCTTTTCCCTGCTTGACAGTCCCCATGCCTCCCTCCTCCCCAGCCATTCTCACTCTCGGCAAGCCCATTGCCACAGTGTCTGTGTCCATTGGTTAGGCTAATATGCTTGTATACAAGTCCTTTGGTTGCTCTCTAACTCCCGCTCCCTTGCCATTTGTCTCTGGATCCGTTCTTGTTCATCAAATTATGAGTGAGGTAATGTGATATTTATCTTTCTCCAACTAGCTTATTTCGATTAATATAATGCTTCATGTCATTTTTAAATGAGAGTTTTTATGACTACTTTTCTCCATAGAAGTTTCTTGGACATCCTTTGTCCACTTCCAGCATGTTCTGTTGAGCCCCATGTATATGAGATCTTGGTGATCATTCCTAGACTTTTTTGATGGTGACCCTTTCATGTCCATCATCAATACCATTGGGATGGTATTAGTTGAAGGCCTTATTTTTCTGGTCTCATAGATAGTAGGAAGACCGTTACTCACTGGTACATGTCTTATCTTCCAGCCTCTCTAAGGTATATATACCTTTTATAATTAATTTTCTATGTTTTGTTTACTCAGGCGTATAACCAGCTATTTCAATACCTTGAGTAAGTTTTAAAAACTATTCTCTAATCCTAGGTCAGCATGTACCTTCTTTTCACGGGAGGATGGTGTGGAGGGGAATGTTTACCAAGTCCACCACCTCTGGCTTGACCTTGACCTGGGATTCCTCCCCTCCTTATACCACTGAACATATGGCAGAATCTTTGGAAAGTGACTCCCTACAGAACAAGTTCCCTCATGCTCCCCTTTGGTTAAAGGCAAATACCTGAATCTACTTCTTCAAATAGGGGGTTACCTTTGTGGCGAAATCCTTCCTCCAGGAGGGTTCCAAGATCTACCACTGGCCTCTGGAGGAACTGACTCTGGGGCAGTAAAACATGATTTCTTGGGATAGAGAATGCTGTAGGTTTTTTTCTTTTTCACCTCAGATACGTTCTTTCTTTGATTAGAGGTGTACTGATCAGCAGTCTGGAAAATCTTACTTTATATCCTCAGGGAAGGGAATGCCCCAAATCTGTGAGTGGATTCTTTCTTGACTGGAACCTGCTGGAACCTTGACTGTGTGCACAGATTTTTCCTGGAAAGAGGCTAGGTGCATGATGACTTAATCCTTCTCTGTAGTTGTGTACTTTCAGGAGAATGGGATGAGGGGAAGTCTCTTGTGAGGTTAGGGAGGAAGAAATAGAACTAAAATAATTTGAGATGTAGAGTTGTGGTGAGGGTAAAATGAGCTGATGTATTTAAAGAACTTAGGACAATCCCCACTGCATAGCATTTCAGTTAATCAATATTTTCCTTCCTTCTCTTTCTTCTGGTGTAGAGTTGCTATAATTGTTCTTACTTCTTTTTCCTTTTTTTCCTCCTGCTTCTGCTTCTTTTGCTTCTCCTCTTTCCCCTCTCTTTCTCCTGCTCGCTCTCTTCCTCGTCCCTCAATTCTTATTAAACCACTTTAAGGAGTGACCTGAATTCAGACTCAGGAATGTGGTTGGTCTCTGTTGTGACTGAATACTCCTCATTTGTATCACTACATGAAGGAGAATTATAGGGAGTCAACCTTCTCCTGAGTTTCAGTTTAGATAAATTCATGCAATGCTTGCCTTTATTTTATTATTTTAAGAATGAACTTTAACATTAGATGAAAGGTACGAGTGTCCTTTAGATTTGTTCCCATCCTGAGGTTCTCTGTGGGTGTGGTTTCTGTGTAACATTTGTACCTGCCTTTGCTCATGGTTTCTCCCCATTCTTGCTTTTCTGCTTTGCCTTGTATTTCTACAATTTTTTTTGATGCCTCTGTTTCAAGCCCTACTTCCTTTGTAGAAGTCATTTCCATGATCTCTTGTATTAATTATTTAATGCTGTGTAATAAACCTCCCAAAATTAATGACTGAAAACAATAATTATCATTTATTACTTCTCATGGTTTCTGTGGATTTTAGAATTCAGGAATGACTCACTTAGGTGGTTCTCATTCAGGATCACCCATGAGTTTGAAACTAGATATTGGCCAAGGCTACAGCCGTCTGAAGAGTTCTCCAGGTTTAGAAGGACTACTTCCCAGGAGGCTCACTCACATAGCTGGCAGTTTGATGCTGGCGAATTGGTTCCTCTCCCTGGGCTTCTTGAGAGTCATCACAGCATGACAGCTGGCTTCCCAAAGAATGAGGGATGCACTGGTGGTCTAGTGGGAAACATAGCCACCTTCCCAAGAGTGAGGAATCCGAGAGACCAAGGCTGGAGCTGAGATACCTTTTCTGATCTAGCCCTGAAAATTTTCTGTCGGCTCCATAGGGCCGTCCTGATTCATTGTGGCAGGGGGCCACACAGGATGTAAATGCCAGAAGTGTAGGAAACCTCAGGGATATCTCAGAAGCTGACTACCACACTTCACGCAGTGATGAGTGTAAAGTGGCTTCTTCTGGGTCTGAACCCCTTTAGCACATATTATCTGTGCCTTACAGTGTAGCTCATCCATCTAGTGGTTCTGGATTTGTTAAGGGCAAAGGTATGCAAGACTGGAAGTGGGTCCTAACCTTCGGTGACAGCCTCAGAGGAGACACCTGCTCTACTCTCTCATGCACTGCTTGCCCCTGACTATGCAGACATGTATTTGATTACTTGCAGTGTCTTCAATAGAATCAGTGCCAGGTAGAGGTGGGTGTTTTATGATTCATTTTTAAATTTCATTCCAAAGCTATTTATTGAGTATCTATCTCGTGCTTAACCTGCCAGGGACTTTTCTAAGCATTAGTGAGTAAAGGAGTAAATATAATTTACTAGTATAAAGATCTCTGCTCCATAGAATTTACATTCTATGATGTGAGGTGAGGAATGGAGAATAAGAAAAATGAAAAGTAAGACATACAATATAATACATGATGACCAGTGATATACAGAAAAACAACTTGGAAAAAGGGACATGTAGTTCCTATGTTGGGGGTATATATGTCTTAGTCCATTCAAGCTGCTATAACAAAATACCACAGCCTGGGTGCCTATAAATAATCGATATTTGTTTCTCACTGTTCTGGAGGCTGGAGGTTTCAGGAGGGTAGGGTGAGGGCCCTCTTCTGGTTGCAGACTTCAAATTCTATTCTCACTTGGCAGAAGGAGCTACAGAACACTGTGGGTCTCTTTCTTAAGGCACGAATCTCATTAAGACCCTCAAGACCTAAGCAGATCCCAAAGGCTCCACTTCCTGCTACCATCACCTTGGTGGTTATGATCTAAATATACTAATTTTGAGGGACACAAACATTCAAATGAAAGCAGGGGTGTGTTGAATTTTTAAATAGGATAATTGGGGAAAGTCTTTCTTTGAAGGTAACATTTGAGCAAGGATCAGCAGGAGATGCAGGAAAGAACTGTGAAGCTTAAGAAAAGGCCTCCAGGCAGAGGAAACAGCAAGTACAATACTTATATTGTAGTCAGATAATTCACATCGGTGTAATTAGCCATCTGCAGCCCTTCTAAGATTACATAGGAGTCATCTGTCTTCAGAGCTAAATTCTGGAATATGCAGATTAGAGGTGACCCAGCAAACTAACTGTTCCCTTCAAGTCTACATGCTTGTTGAACACCTACTGTGTGTCAGATGCCAACCTAGATTCTTATGGGATGCAACAGTACCATTTAGATCTTCCTTGTGTATAGCTCAGAGCCTCATGGAGATAAATGCCAGGTACCCAAATACTGAACCAGGCAGATGTGAATAATGTGCCAGGAGGAAATGAAGCTTTGAAAATTGCGAGGAGAGAGCACATTGAAGTTGCCTAAATGAGGCAGAATTTATCTGGGCCTTGAAGTATTGAGTAGAGTTAAAATCCTGGCGATGGTAAAAGATCCCTGGTAAAATGAATGAAAATAAGCAGATTTCCAAAAATTCAGGTTCCCTTTCTCTTCCGTGATAACACTATTGTTATTGTTGTTGTTATTATTATTATTCTGTGATTATATCACAAGCTTTAATGCAGTGAAGGGTTTGGAGAATATAATTTAGAAATTTTTTATTTTTCAGTTGCAGTTGATATACAATATTATATGGGTTTCAGGTGGACTATCTCTTTGTTTTTAAATTCTAATCAATATAAATGCAAGGTAATGGAACTCTGGGTCCCACTTTTGTGAACAGCTCAGTGTGAGGAGAAATAATCAGTCCATCTTTTCCAGGAAGCCTGACTAATTATTAGGCCAAAGCACATATCCTTCAATTCCACCAATAGGCTCCTTGCTCTATTTATAGATCCAGTGTTGCAATAGGTTGTGCTAGTACTTTGCTGAGCACAGGTACAGCATGTTGGATATATTTTGTTCAGTTTCTGACCCCCAGTTCATCTTCATTATTTGCCAGTTTCCCTCTGAGTAAAACCTACCTTCCTATGCCAGCAAAAACACTTTTATTGGTAGGGATAACGGCCATGGAAAGGAACCATTTGGGTGTGTGAGTCAGGCAGTGGGCATGAATTGATGAGGAACTTGCTCAGGATAGTTTGGTCTAGGTCTTAGCTTCAGTTGTTTTTCTGCGTTTTGTGGATGGCCACATTTTTGGGAACCGAATTATTTTATTCTTTTGAAACTCATTCTACATCCCCCTTAAGGGAGGATCAGTCCTCAAG